CCTCGAGAAACCGTGGAATCCACGGGCGACGAACGCACAGTGTACCGACTGTCGTTATACGGGCGCATCGTATTTACCGATTGTAACCGAAACCATTTCGATTCGTTGTTTTCAGATCGAAATCATTGAGGACCCCTTCGAACATGTTTATAGTTAGCCTGGCGATATTCGATATAATAATGGCTTTTGAAATGCCAATGCTTGTGATAAGCAGTTTTATGGAACGTATGATCGGCTGGGAAATCGGATGCGACGTCTACTCCGTGTTTGGGTCGGTTTCTGGCATGGGACAAGCTATTACCAACGCTGCCATCGCATTTGACCGATACAGGTTATATTCCGTTTCGTCATCGTCATCGCTATTTACGGGTCGAGATACCGAATCCTCTCTTTCTTGCAGAACCATTTCGTGTCCGATCGATGGACGACTCAACTCGAAACAAGCCGCGATAATCATCGCTTTCACGTGGTTCTGGGTGACACCGTTCACCGCTTTACCGCTGCTAAAAGTGTGGGGCCGATACACTACCGGTAACAACTTTCAACGATTCTCTTCTCTCGAAAACGATCGATCCGTACTTTTGCCTTATGCCTCGCTCTAACCATTCCAGAGGGCTTTCTCACCACTTGCTCGTTCGATTTTCTTACGGACGACGAGGATACGAAGGTCTTCGTCACGTGTATTTTCATTTGGTCTTACGTGATTCCTCTCATTTTTATCATAACATTTTATTCTCGATTACTCGGCTCTATTCGCAATCACGAAAAAATGCTACGAGAACAGGTACGAATTTTCAATTCAATTTCTTATACAATTATCAACTATTCCTCGCGTAATAATATTATTATATGTATGAAACGAAACTCCTACTAAGCTAAAATAAATCGTTTATTATTCGTGCTTTGTAGGCAAAGAAAATGAACGTGAAGTCGTTAGTATCGAATCAAGACAAGGAGAGAAGCGCCGAAGTGAGAATCGCAAAAGTCGCATTTACCATATTTTTCCTTTTCCTTTTAGCTTGGACACCGTACGCAACCGTTGCTTTGATAGGAGTATACGGCAATCGGTAATTATCGCGTTTCGTTGAAAATCCTAAGTTTTTTTCGTGGCGTAACGATGGATATATGTTCTCGCTCCAGGGAACTTTTAACGCCCGTATCTACAATGTTACCTGCCGTATTCGCCAAAACAGTATCTTGTATCGATCCATGGATTTACGCGATCAATCATCCGAGGTAATTAATTCGTCGCGATATCCTCCTCGACAAGAGATACAAAACGAAACGAAATCATGTCTCTCTCACTATCTATCTATCTATCTATCTATCTATCCCTGAACAGGTATCGACAAGAATTACAAAAACGATGCAAATGGATGGGCATTCACGAACCGGATACGTCTTCTGACGCTACATCTGCCCAAACTGAGAAAATCAAAACGGACGAATAAATCGAACGAATTCTAAAAAAAAAAAAAAACCTTGAAGCGCTTATATAGGTTGTTTTTTTCGATATATTTGATCGAGGTCGCGCATCAAACAAGTGCAACCTTGATTTTGCGTTTTTGATTCTAACTCTTATATCGATAAATATGTAAGATTTAAGATTTTATGTAATTATACGAATATGGAATTGTATAAAAATACAATCGTAGTGATCTGGTGCACCGATAATAACGATTGTACTCTTATTATTAAAGCATTGTTAAACAGCAAAACGTTTCGTTTATTCTTTTCCTTTTTCCCCCGCCGCCCCGCGTTTTCCACGCATTCCCGCGTTTTTCGTCACGCGCATCGTATTCATTCCCTTTTTTTTTACCCCTTTTCCTTGTGCCACCATCACTAACCGTTACGACTACACGTATATATAACTTTTTATATTTTATTTTTCCGTTTTCGAACGATTTCACTTTCACGTTGCAACACGTATATACAACACGATGAAAATTAACCCTCTTCCGTAACGTAACCTCTCGATCCGAACGCCATGTTGACGTTAATTGAAACTCGAAATGCGCGTAAAAGGATGCGCAATAACCTGCGCAGAATACGGCGCAGAAGGTAGAAAGCGCGTTAAAGCGAATTATTAATAGCCGCGACAAGAGCATCGAACGATTTCTCTCGTCGAGATCGAGAAAACGGGGAAAAATGTACAAATTAATTAGAGAATAAAAATCCCCTTTTTGAGATACAATCGATCTTTATCGCTCTTACGAGATTTTTAATCGAACAAAGAAAGTCTTTCTTTTTAATCATTACAAAACTTTCTCCCCTCCTGCCCTTCCCCGCGACATGTAAACTTTCGTTCTTTTTATCTTTTGGCGCATAGAGGAGAGGGGAGAAAGAGAGAGAAGAAAGTACTTCTCGCCGGCGCTTGTTACGAGAAAATTGAGAGGATCTTGTTACATTCTCGTTATCTCGATCCCCTTAACTCTTTTTAGAATGTCCGTTCTTAAGATTCTCAGCAGGAGGATATTTTACGAGAGAGAGAGAGAGGAGGCGGAAGGTAAATTTATTTTATTACGTTAGTATTCGCTATTT